ATATGTATGTATTATCATCAAGAAATTATTCTTGAAGAAAATATTTGCAAATCATATATAAGGGGATGTATCTAGAATATATAGATATCTCTTACAACTCAAGAAGAGAAAGATAATCATATTTAATAATGATCAAAGGATTTGAGAAGATGTTTTTCCACAGATTACATTAAAAAGGGTCATAAACACATGAAAACATTAGTTCATACAAGAATGCTAATTAAAACTACAATGAAATACCACTTTATATTCAATAAAATGGCTAAAATAAACCAACTCAGAATAGCAAATGTTAGTGAAGATATGGAGGAATTGAACACATAAATTGGTGAAGGCTTTGTACATGGAATAACTTGGAAGACAGTTTGACAATTTCTCAAAAATAAAATGTAGTGTTACCATATAGCTTACTAATTTGTCTCTGGCATACACCTACAAAAACTGAAAGGATATATTTACGCATAACCTTGAACACAGACATTCATAATGGCAATTAATAACTATCAAAAATGATAGTATCCCAAAAGCTCATCAACTGAAGAATTGTTGAATAAAATGGAATTTTGTGTGCTACAAGGAGAAATAATATATTGATAGATGCTATAACACTGATCAGAAATGATCCTTGGAAATATTATGCAGAGTGAAAAAAGCAGACACAAAAGGCCACAATATATATGATTGCATTTATATGAAATGCCAGAATAGGCAAATCCACAGAGACAGAAAGTAGATTTGTGAATTGTAAGGACTATGAGTAGGGGATAATAGGGGATGCATATGAATGGCCTCCTGCTAGAAGTGATGGAAATATTCTCACATTAGAGAGGCAATCACTGCACAACTCCAATATTAAAAGCCATTGAGTTGTACTCTTTAAAACGGTGAATTTTAATGTTTGTGAAGGCTAATACAATGAAACTATTATAGAGATAAATATTAAACAAGGATATTTCAAAATAAATACAAGTTGAAGGCATTAATTATAGTTACTAGCATGTTTATCAGGTAAACATTCAATTATCTTCATGAAAACACTGATGTGCAAGAAATAATAAATAAAAATGAACAGAGTCTATATTTGTTAAGTAAACTATACTGTATGATGCACAAATTTCTGCAGAAAAAATAATTACAAGGCAATCATAAACAATTTTTTACTTCTGAGTTTGACAGTAATGAAAGGATAAATATATAATTCATACTGGTATGAAACAAAGATAATGTCTGTAGGTGAATGAATTGCATAAAATAATAATATTTTTTGAGTCTATGAAGATTTTTGCAAGCTACAAAACTGATGCATTAGTTGGGAAGATAAAACACTTTATGTTCCAGAAAGACTGAGAGCAATAATTAACATTGCATTGTATTGTCACAAAATATGTAAATTTAAAAACAATACAAATTGATAAACATTAACAGAAAGTAATAGAGTTGATGAATTTCCAGATGAAAACTCATACCTCAGTCTCAGACAGAGAATTTCCTGACTCTCAGTTTTCCCTGTGCCAGCGAAGTGATGGTGGTGGTGGTGGTATGTGACTTGGCTGGTGACCAGGGTGCTGCTCCTCCTAACTTCCCCTTTCCCCCCTGCACCCCAGTTGATTGTGATAGTTTGCTTCAGTGCCCCACCTAGCTATCAAGCTACGATTATCCACTTTAACATGAGTGGATCCAGGCTGGCAGTGTGGTGCACCTCCCCCACTCCTGCACTTCAGAAGATTCTGCTGCATTTTTGGGAACAGAGAGGTCACTCTAGAATGGCTAAGATCAGGAAGGATTCTAGGCCCCTTACTTGCATACCAGGCATTCCCATGAAGCCTTCCAGAATGTTCCCTGGTTTCAGGCCTCACCCTCACTAAAACAGGTCTAAGTCACTCTTTCCAGGAACTTCTAGGCTTTTGGTTTAGGAGGGCTCCTTCCCGTGTATTAGCTCTCTTTTTCTGCAGTACAAGCCCTGTTATAATAAAGACTCACTGACATTCCAGTAAACCTGCTCCTGATTTATTTTTGGATAGTGTAGGCTCCAAAAGTCCAATAAATCTACCTAGGATTTTTGTCCTGAGTAGTGTGGACAGAGTAAATAAAGACACAGAGCTGTTAACTCCAAAGATCATTGGAAACCAACAGCCAACAAAGACCAGTGGCAGAGACCTGGTGCCCTATAGAGTCAGAGTGGATCTACAGTGTCCAGCACAAGCTGGGATTGGACACTGATAGCCAGCAGTGACTAACAGCTAGCTGTCAACTTTTGACATTAAGCATTACCTGGTGTGGCATCTGGTAACATCAGGGCTACTAGCAGAGCTACACTTTGTCAATTCATGATTTCCATCTGTAGTTCATTGACAACTGGTGGTCAACTTATAACCCCCAGCTGAACTGAGCAAGCATGGTGCTAGGTGTGGGAGGCCCTCCTGGGGATTGTTGCCAGCAGCATAAGAGGCGGAACTGGAGAAGAAGAAGAAAGGCTTTTGGAAGCTGAGAGGTTGTTGAGAGCTGGTGGAAGCTGTAAGGAGCTGTTGGTTGTTTTGGAGGCGCTCATCATGCTGGCTTTCCTGGTGAACTTGGTTGTTTACATCCTCCAAGGAGCTCAGGGCTTTGTTGGCACTGAGAATAGCTTTGGTTCACTTTTGGGGAGCTCTGGTCCTCACTCTAAGCATCACTTTCTGGATCTGGAGGGGAGGAAAGTGCACAGGTCAGTTTCCTGAAAAAACTTGCTGCATTGGCTTTTCTGATGGAAACTCAGCTATCTTCTGGGGGAGCTCTGGTTATTACTGTAATCATTGCTTCCTGGCTCCAGTGCAGATCCCTCAGCCTGCTCGCACAGATTCTTTACCCCACTGGCACAGACTTCCTATATTCCACCACTGACCTTTGGGCCTTCACAGAGCAGATCCATGAAACAGGCCTGCATGAGATATTGTTATGGGCTCTGGGCCTCCAGGTGGATTCGTGGGAGGCATTGTTATGAGCTCTAGGTCTTCAGATAGACTCATGCAAGACATTTCCGTGGGATCCAGGCCCTCAGCTGGATTCCTTGGTCTTAGTGTGTGGACAAATTTCCTGCACTGTCTTATATATGATTTTTTGGGTGACTGTTATAAATAATCTTATAAAATATGTGTCCTGTATTACCTTGTTTTCCCTTGCAAAAATATGCCCCAAACCTTAACATCATCTAAACTGAGCAAAGGAACCCTAGGCTGATTGGCGACCAATACAAATAAATATATATCACCTGAATATATTAGTCACTTTCCTGTGTCTGAGACAAAATTCAAAACACCTGCAATTTAAAAGGAGAAGATTATTTTTGGCTTCTTGTTTCAGAGGGTTCAGTTCATGGTTGGCTGGCTCCAAGGCACAAATCTCATGGTGGAAGGCCAAGTCCGTGAAAAATTCCTTATCTAATCACAGCCAAAATGTTGAGAGAAAGGAAGAAGAAAGGAAGAATACACTCTTCCAGATCATCAACCAGTGACACACCTCCAACGAAGCATCACTTTCAAACAGCACATTCAACTACTGTACTCACCCCTGGATTAATCCATTGATGAGCATAGCACTCCATGATTCATTCACCTTGCAAAGTTCCACTTCTGAACAAATGAGACTTGAGGAACATTTTAGATCTACACCACAATATAAAGAATAAAAAATCTTAATTACTTCATTATGTAGTGTTATTAAACACTGGCACACTGTCAAATCAATGTAGCAATGATATGAGGGAAATTGTGACTTCAGAATGCAAAATACAGACATAATATTCAAGTTCTAAGGCAATAAAGTTAATATTTTTCATGGATATATTACTTAATGTGACCTATTGCCTAAAGATATCTGATGCTGTCAACCAACCAATCAACAAATGACTCAAAACAACAGTGAGATGTGGCTTGAAAAGACTTGTAATTGCTACACAATCCATCTTTAAAGCACAAATGCTGGACACTTCTGCAGACTCCTCGGACAGAAGGAATGAGAAATGTACCTTAAAGTGCTGCTGTCATGAAGCATTAGTAGGGAAGGAAAAAATGCAGTGTTGGATAACCAGAGACAAGTCTTGACTTTAAATGTTAAATTATCTTCAGTTACATGTTCTTCCAAGAGAAAAATTGTGATGACTGCAGCCTCTGTGATGTAGTACATTAGTCAGAGCTTGATGATGAAATTCAAGAGCAAGAAAAGTCATAAAACTTCTGGAAGCCCATTTTCAAGAAGTGCTCAATAGTACTTCTGGTATACTCTAGCCAAGCATGCTCTGGGAGAAAAAGTGTCATCGGTATGGATGGAAAGTTTTCTGCTAAAGAATTCAGGAATGTGACTTAGGAATCCAATCAATAATTCATCTCAGAAAAAACCAGATAGAACGAAAAGGACCAGTATAGTAATTTTGTATGAAAACAAACTGTCCAAGCTGTGTTCTCAAAGAAAGTAATTTTGGAGGGAAGCACCAAGATGGCAGACCGGTAAACAGCAGAGAAAGAGCCTCTATGAGTGTTGTTGTCCAGACACTGGAATAAAGCAATGTAAGGAAGACAAGAGTGAGGGTAGTGAGAAACTTCAACTAAGAAGGAGGTAGCTGGTAGAACCTTCTCCCTGAGACAGAACTCTCTATACAAGAGGAATGATTCAAATCTACAGACACATGGTGACTACTGGTGACTCCAGAGTCCTCCAAAGAGAGACACAGTAGTGGAGGGGAGCAGTGGATGTGAAGGATTACACTAGCTGATAGGTTGTGATTGTTGCTACTGTTAATGTTGATGGTACCACTTTAGCCTAAAGTGATGTAATTGTTCTAAACAGCTATTTTTCCTGGTATTTCAAGATGGAGATTGACTAAGAGTCATAGAAAATACTGTGTCACAGTGCCAAAGAACCAAGAGCTGGGCTAACAGGCAGCAACTTCTCATCCCCAACAAATTGAGGATATAGGTTCCTGCAACAGATATAAAACTCTCAAACCAGTTAAAACTGGCAGATACCTTGGAGAAATAGTCATTTCCTAAAGGTTCTGAATACTAGCAATAAAGCAACCCACCACAGGCAATTTACAAGCATCACTCCAGGAATTAAACTACAACAAGAAAAAATGAGAAGACAGAAAAATGCAAACCCAGACTTCCAGTTCACCAAAGGCAAACCCAAAGGGCAACGAGGTGGGACAACCCAAAAGCCACCCACCTGGCCTCTCTGAAGTGGTAACAACAAAGCAATCGAGTGAGGCTCTAGAAAAAATCAAATCGGAAATAATTTCTCAGAGATAGTGTACACAGTAAAAACCAGCTTCCTCCCATACTTTTTAAGGACAAGGGTCATTCTGAATTTAGCGTCTACCCTAATTCACTGTGGCATCATCTCAACTAGCTTGTATCTACAATTAAACTATTTCTACATGAATCCACATTCACATAATCACATGAAAAACCTTTATATAAAATATGTATAACAGAAGACAAAATGCTTTATAATATATACATAAATAAATTCAGCTGGAAATGTTAGATTATTAGTAGTAGTTAAATTTAACACTGAATCAAACAGCTTTCTAAACTCTAAATCAATGTGCTTCACAAGTACCAGAATAAAAGTATTAGAGAAAACAAAGTAAGCCAGAGGAAAGAAAAGCCAAAGTCAGATTACACATTAGTGCAGGAGAAGGTTGAACTGCTGGGTAAAAATTATTGATCATAAGATAGTGGGACACTTTTAACTGACAAAAACCTCAATGGAAAGCCCACATTTGATTATACTGACTCTTTTTTTTTTTTGGTTTTTCTCCGGTACCGGAAATCGAACTCAAGACCTTGCGCTTGCCAGGGAGGAGCTGTGCCGCTGCGCTAAATCCCCAGGCCCTCTATTGACTCTTGATACACCAAATAATACACTATTAATATAGCAAAAACAACAGCTTATTCAATTAGACACTGCAATCAATTGGCCACAGTTTTGAAATTTGAGTCCTGTCAGCTTTAATGTCCTGGAAGATCCTATTAATCTTTACCCTGAATCTGTGCAAGCCAAGCAGGTAAACTTCTTGAGTCCCCTTTGCTTAATCTATGAAAACCTTTACTCATGTTTTTGGGATATCTTGCCCAGTCAGGCCCCTAATCACTGTAAGAAACAAGGTCGGGGTCCTCACTTGCGTTTCTCCCAGGTTGCTTTGGGACTCTGACCTGATCTCAAAGAATGCTTATATGAAGAATAACCTTTTTCATACCCTTGTGGCACATGTGTGATATCTCTAGTTTTGCTCTGAACCAAATTTTAAGTGGAGATTCCATCTACACTCGACATAGGGAGGTCACAACATAAATAGACCATTGCATGAAGAGATTTTAACTTATATCCCTTAGCCTAGGTGAGAAACAAAGGGAGACATGGAGGACCTTAATGGTATAAATAGATCTATCTAAATTCAATACACATACAAATATTTGATTATACTTTTATATTTTAGTTGATTTAATAATACATAAATATTAATTTGCATACATATAGCCCACAGATCATCACTTTTACTATTTTTGTGTTATGCATTTGTACGTGTGTGCCCGTACATGTGTCAACATGCATAATCATCACACAGTGTTGAACTTTATATAAATAATGAGTATGCCCTCTTTCAGGTACCTCATGAGTACTTTTAAATGACTATAATGGAGATTACAAACACAGAATTTTAAAATATCAAGAATTGAAAAACGTGGTCTTCATTATTTGACTATTAAATAAAATTTAGAAGTTGATAAGAGATAGAAAAACTAAAAAACACCACACATTGGCAAATAAAGTTAATTAATTTGTTTTTCCTTCTCTCATTATTTTATACAAGCATTGGACTATGATTGAATTTGAGCAGGAATAAGTACTATTCCCAAAACTACTGGGGTTTTCCTTCTCTTTATTTTGGGGAAATGTGAGTTTAACATAAATGCAAATATTTTGCTAGTATTGAATAGTATACAACATTGCATAAAAGGGCTTTAATCTTGAATAGTCACATGGGGAAGTTTTTGAGCGTTTGTCTCTCAGTTCCACTGTTTTGTCACTCTTGAGCTTGTACTTTTCAAAGTATCACATCCCTATTTTGCTACCTCATTTGTCTCAGTCTTTGTGATCAGGATCCAATATGGTGAGACTGCAGGTTTGGAGTGGTAAGGGACTTGCTACTTTTGTTTTTATTCCTTTTTCTGTGTCATCATATTATTGGTCCTTAATTTTGGCAACAATAATACTTCTAAGTAGTAGCAGTAGCAGCATTCTGTTTCCAGGTGTGGTTTCTTCTACTTGCCAGAACTTGCTGTAAGCCTGGAGAATTCTCAGTAGCAGGTGAGTGATGCTTTTCTTAGTGGTCTAAGGCCCGGCTCCACGGAGCGCATCCACAGCAGTACATGTAATAACCACACCTCTGTCTCAGGAATAAGTCTAGTCCTCAGCCCTCTCGTTCATTCCCTCACCCTTAGAGTTCCTGCAGTTGTTACTTCCTCCAATTGTTACTATTTTGTCATGGCTCAGCACCTTGCATTACTGTTATTATTGGCAATAGTTGTGCATTTTCTGTTTTTTAGTACCTTGCTGAAGATTGTTCATATTATATTCTCTGCTGAAACAATTATAGTCATTTCTCTCTCCAGACAAGACCTTGACTGATACAGAAATCCATTCTTCCAGATACTTGATCCCCTAAAGAAGAAGACATTTTCCTAAATGTGCATCAAGCAGCCACTTCTTCTAGTTGCTTGGATTTTAAATGCAAATTAATCTGAAGATCATAACCGCAGGTTCTCCTGTCACCCCAAAGAGAGGCATCTCACATAATTGTATCACTCTGTACAATTGGAGAACTCATAGCTAATGTGCTGTGTCTGATGTACTCAGAAAATTCCCCAATGTGAAAATATTTGATTAAGCATATGTACTTTCTCTGATTATTTTGGTTATGCATTTCTGGGAAAAGGTCCTGATACTACTTCCCCTGACAACATCGGTCACTCTTGGGGTTTACCTGTGGCCCTGACATCTAGTTTTGTGGTTGAAGATCATTAATTAGCTCTTCTTGCTTTTTTTTTTTTTTTTTGTGGTATCAGGAATCAAACTCAGGACCTCGCGCTTGCCAGGCAGGCGCCCGTGCCACTGAGCTATATCCCCGGCCCTCTTCTTGCTTTTTGTGTTTACAAAGGCAACCCTAAATCTCTGGAAAATAGTAAGTATCTAGGTTTTAAAATATAAGATTTTTGAGTTATTCTTTTGCTAAAATAAAAGGTCGGCAAACATATCTGAAAATGTTTTAGAATGATAATATTTCTTTTCCTTTACTTCTGTTGTCATTTTGCACCGTAAACTTTAAAACAAAGAGTCATTTTAGGTAAAATAGATTTGAGAGAGGCACTGTGTAATTTGCAAAGATCTCTGTTGCATTTACAGAAATCTGGCCAAAAATTGAGAATTAGAGTTCAAATCCTTGAAGATTCACTTTTGTAGTGAGATCTTAGTAGGTGGAACACTTGCTAAACATATAATAGTTGCCACGAATTGTATAGAAATAATCCTGGCCATATTCAAAGGAGAGTAATTATACTTTTTTTTTTTTTTTTTGCTTTTTTTCCTGTACCGGGAATCGAAC